CTGGTACAAAGCTCGCGATGGATTCTGGTGGTTGGGCAAGATTACTGGACCGCCTCTACCGTCCGACTTCTACGTCGTCCGCTTCTTGGACGATCCTGGCCCTGTCAAGCTCGCCCTTCCTGATGTTCGCTACTCCACCGCTGAAACCGCCGTCTCCGGATCCTGGTGCCTTCAAGTTCACAGCGGCAGTGCCCTTTTTAAGGGGATCCTTCGCAACGTCGACATGTCGCGTGGTGACCCCGGGGCTGATTCGTTGCCTGATAACGTGGCGCGCCCCCATTAAGACGACGTGCTAGTTGTCTTGGCTTTCTGTTGTTTTCAGCGTTGTTTGGGTTGCTTTTTAGCCTTGGTTGGTTTTCGCTTTCTCCTCGCTTTATTTTGTGCCTTTAGCGTTTGGTGTAGGTGTTTCGCGCCCATTGTTGCCCCTTCTACACTGCCGTGGCGACTGCGTGAATGGCGTATCTGATCGTTTTCTTACGATACCGGTCTTGTTGTGGTTCCTACAGTGATCCTTTCTTTTTTGTCGTTTTGACGACCTTTGTTTTTCTTTTCTGTTTTTCTTCCTTCTTTGTGTTTTCCTTTCTTTGGTTCCGACCTTCTTCCGGTCGTCGTAGGCTTTTCTTAGCCCCGTCAGTTCCTTCCTGTCTGTGTCTTTTTGTCGTTTTAGAAGTCAACCGATGGTCTTGCGACTCATCGAGTGAGAGGTGTGGGAGGGTGAATTGTGCTGTTTTGGAGCTCCACATCCTCGATACTTTCATTTAGAGACTCGACAATTGCTTGTCAAGACTCCGAGGTTTTACAGTATCTGCGTATGAGAACCTCCAGGGTGGGCTAGTGTTATAGGATTCAGATGTGTAGACGGAACATAGAAGAGCTTGGTTCCTTCTAGAAGGCGCGGAGAGATGTAACTCTCCGCGGAAGGATAAAAAGCAGGGGACAGGATCTAATAGCCCCTGCTTGTGCAGAGGATCCTGTGCCCCTTGGTGTCATTCCTACCGATACCCAAGGCAACAGCTACTGCTGCTGCTGTTCTACAAGAGTAACAACAAGTGAGTTCTTCTTCACGGGTCAACCAGACTTCATCACGCGTGCATACCACTACATATCGCAGATGGGAATGACCTTGAGGGGCATGCTAGGAAAGACACTGGATACGAGTTGTGGGCCCCCCTTTCGACTGGTTTTGGCCTGGCACTCCTCCTTTCTCCTACTTTTCCTCCTCTCTGATGTCACCCCTGGGCTATATATGCGGTTAACAACACCCTTTGGACCCTGGAGCTCACAAAGACATGGGGCATATACAACAAACAGGAGGTATTGCGTTTTTCGGCGGTATCGCAATAAGGCGATAAAACAAAAAACCGGCGGTTTATCGGTAACCTACCAGGGCTGAAATTTTATGGCGGTACAACTACCACGTAAGCCTATCGGCTTCCTAACTCGAAATTTAGCTGGAGCGACACGTGGCGTCACACGTCTACGGGTGGTGGCCAGAGCAATTGTGTAGCTATACAGAGATCGCAGAAATGCGACGCGTTACCCGCCAGCGATCAAGGGTTACTTAGAGGCACACGCACGAAGAACACTGGTCGTAGCCTTTTTCGCATGAGGCCATTTTTTTTCCATACACACATTGGATCCGTTCGTTTTGTATACGCGCAGGTGTTGTTGCACAGCAATTGTGTTTGTTCATATCAACACTTTTCCCAACATAAAGCCATCTACAACAAACAACCACGCGATCGCCCCGAAATACGACTCGTTTCTTGAACACAGTGGAATCGCCGACCCAAGCAAGCGATGCATACAGAGACAGGCATCGCAACAAACAACCTCAATCACAAAAACATAAGGGTCTGAATGCCATTCCGAAAACCTCAAAACAGGTGTGTATATTGATATAGTCTACCCTCCCATAAAGCAACACCGACTGAACTTGGAGTAAAATAGTCTGCAATGGGTAGAAACGCTTTTCGAACAAGTCGGTTGCCTGAATCTCATCATTGATTCCCATCGAGCAGCCGAAGCCTGGTCGCCGCACGGTAGACGAGCGCAGCTGGCAGTTCTGGGGAGGAACGGACTGAAAAAAAAACTATTTAGTATTTTTCTGTTTGCCGACCTCCATCTCGGTCTTGTGTATCACTGGATTATACTTGCGTGCCACTTCCAACCGCGTGGGAGATCCCCGTCAGTTTCCGAAAAATGTCACCAATACCGTCAAGCTCCTGGAACGCGGTGACCGAACGAACGGTAGCAGGATTAGAGGTGCAGGCAGGAGCAACATCAGCGAGGGCAAGGGTACCAGTGCGTCGGGTGTGGAGTTCATCCCCGACAGCCCTCTTTCACAACCGCGGATCCTCGTGCGTGGGAAGCACGAGGGCCCGCGTTTGTGGAACAGGGGCTGTAGGGGGTGTACTCGGCGCCCGACGCAAGGTTTCCTTACCCTCGCTGATGTTGCTCTGGCCGCACCGCTGACCCCGGCGCGGCTGGTTCTGTCATCACGTTCCAGGAACTCGATGATGGTGGTGGCGTCTCGGAACCTGACGGGGACCATTCACATGTTGCTCTGTGGTTTGGGTGGAAGAAGCAGGGGGCAGCAGAGGGCGCGGGTGGTCTTCTTATGTTGCTGGTCCTCGTGTTTGAAATATGAAATCGGCCGCCCACGCAGCAATTCAACAGTACACGTATGCATATTCGGAGAGGTTTTGGAGTTTCACGGAGTTTTCTCGTGGCATCGTACATCCCATGTCCTGACAATACTGGGACAGACTAATACGGCGATTTCATTCCTCCCGACGTTTTGACAAGTGTCCACATTTCATGCCCCGCGTTACACATCTTGAATTCAATGTTGTCCAGTTTCAGGAGGCCCACGGGAAGCATAAACGAGAGTACGGCACGTTAGATTTCGATATCGTGCTGCGAGTAACCTTTCATCGTGAAAAGGGAATCCACACTACCAGCCCACCTTGGAACTGTTCATTCGGCCTTGCTACCTTATTCTCTCACGTGAAAGTACTCACCGCCCAGAGTGACTGCGTGATGGCGTCCTCCATGATGGTGATGGATGTCTTTTGCAGGAGTGCATCGAAGTGGGCCTGGCGCCCCCGGCTCATCCTACAGCACGTGAGAATGGGCCCTTCGAGGAAGAGCAATGAATGGCAAACGATGTGAGGATAGTGTGCTGAAGTAATTCAACGCAACAAGTGCAGACCGCGAGAGGTAACTCCAAGCCAAGGGAATGTCTCTGGTATCTATCTGCTGTGTGCGTTCTTGCACTCGATCGCGAAGTAATGCTGAATGCAAGACCCATCGCGCTATGTAGATATATCTACACACCATGGCGTCCATGCTACATATTCCCTCACGTCTCCTGGCACGGTCGGAGACCAAGTCGGTCACGTCCGTTGCGGGATTATCGAGGAGAGACATGACAGCCGACGAGGCACCCCAACGTGAAAGGGTGGCAGTCGTTCTAGCCACTATAGAACATGCGTAATTCATCCTGTCCATCAGATCGTTGGACGAAGAAGACGTAGGTCCGAAAAGCGTCTAGTCGAGCATGACATACATGCGCTTGACTAGGGGTCATCCTCATTTCCGCGCTATGCACTTGCGGAGACTGGCGTTGGAACGTGAGCTGCAAGACGCTGGGGGGGGGCAAATCAAGCCCCTAAAAAGAGGGACGATGGCAGGATATGGCGAACAAGCGATGTCTCTCGATAATCCCGCCAAGGACGTACTTGTTCTCCGACAGCGCCAAGGAAGACGAGTGCGGGAAATGCAGCATGGACGCTATGGTGTCTAGATAAATCGCCGGACCTTCCCCGTGACTGTTGGGCAGTCAATGAGTAGATGAGTTTTCATAATGTTTTATCAGTCGTCTTCCCACCAGGTAAAGACGGAGACAGGAAATAGCGGAGAGAATGGAGAGTGGCATTGGTTCACCCTCAAGAACACAGGAGTTAAAATATCCCGCAAGCACCCCCAAGCGACACGAAACCGCCATTGCTCGAGAGATCACACCGACAGGAATAAGAGGATAGGCCGAGGCAATCGACAGACTTCCATGAAACTCTTCGCGCTTTCATGGAACTTCAAGATGCCACTTCCACGGAAGAAGCAACCACCCGCTGCTTATCAACGTCCATGATAGTTGTCACAACTTCCATGGAAGCTGGTACCGGAATCCGTCACGCAGCTTTCATACGGCTTTCATGGAAACTGCTTCAATGGAATTCGTATCTACTATCAAAGCGTGTGAAGCTTCCATGGACTTGACCATGGAAGCTCTGCATAGCTTCCATGGAAAACAAATATCTACTAAATGGTACTACCATACGTGTAAAACCATCCGCAAGCAGTCTCCTATATATATACAAATTCGGCATACGGTCTGAGAAAGTTTCAGTAGCACTGGACGAACGTTGGAAATACGTACTTCGTACTGTACATCAAAGTCAGCCGGAGATGCGAGACAAGTCGAGAACCTGTGGCGTGGCAGTGGAGCGACGAAGAGAGTAAGTACACAGTGCGTGTGTAGGTGATGAACTGGCCAATAGATAGTTGGCTCAATCGTATATTTCGTTCCGATCGATGGAGGTTACTACAGTAGTGCCCCAAGGGTCGTTCGTAGACGACGACGCGCTAACGCATAATTCCTCTACCACAGACGAGTATCAGGGGTTGCCCGGATGATGTATGCACGGGTATCGACAACAAAACTGCTACAGTAGAATCAGAGACCAACCCTTCGATGCGGATGCGGCTCGTCTAATGACCTTCTGTCGACCTCGCGTTTTTTTCTGGGAGATTGTTCGCTACATAGACGACAAACTTGTCTGGATCAAATTTTTAGTTGTGGAAATTCTGCAAACGGAGCTATCACATCTATACATCCCGACCTAGTCTTCGTACCTCTTCCTGAAGTTCCACGGAAGCTCGCTCGAGGTGCTCTACTGGCAGGAAGGAAAGCCAGGTGCAAGACACCGCAGGTAGGTCATTATTCTGCTGACGATGCCTCTCGCTCAGCAGGGGTATCGGACGGTCTTGACGAAGTGCAACAACCGGACAGAGACGACCGACCGCCAACACGGTCGTGACAACCATTGCGAGCTTCGCGACCTATTGCGAGCTTCGCGACGACTTCCGCCCACATTAAGGCCCAGACGGCGACACGTCGTTGACGGACAACACATGGTGATTCACAGGCTCTGTAGCTGTAATGAAGCGTCCAATGATAGAGGCGCTATCTGGAAAGCTAGCTGCGAATAGGTGGCGAGGTCTTGCTTGTTCAACATGAATGATGCGGATTCCCATCTAAACATCAACACCACTGCATCGTTTAGAGTCTGGTGGTTGAAGGTTACGTTTGGCCAATCGGCGATTCGGAACCGCGTAGATAATAATATAAGTCATACCAGAGCGAGGAGTTGAACCAACTGACCTTGTCGAAGCGATGAGCTCCAACATTTTGCGCTTCGTCTACCTGCTGGGGTCCAAGATATCGTTTGAAAACCAATCTGCATCTATCCATCGATGTGAGGTTGGGAATGACTCTTGCTTCTTGGCCTGTCATATTTGTCGGATATTTCGGAGTCACTCCTCAGGGCAAGCATGACTTGAGTGGGCTTGTTCCCAAGGGGGTTCGACCTCCACCTGTGTGCCCAATCTCTAGCTGTGCTCCCAGATTCAAGGGATTTTGTACGCACACACGTTCGTTAGATAGTATTCCCGTGCGGCCATTGAACCCGTGGATACCTGCCTCCATCGAGTTCCTAGGGTGCCCACAGAGGTCCTTATTGAGTTCCTAGCCCAAACCACGGCACTCCTTGGGACTCCGTCATGGCACATCGTGAGGCTCCTTGTGATTCCATGGAAATATTCCACGGACGAACCATGGCATGGACAAAGGGTGTGAACGATGGGGAGTTCCAGTTCCAGACAACAGTGGGCTTTTGGGTTTATTCACATCTACACGTAGGACGCCACATATGTCATCCAGTTGGACGGGTGGCGTGATGCCTACTTCGCTGCTCGGGCCCCGGTTGGGCGGCCCAACATTCTCTGCGTGGTTTGCAGCTTCAGCCTAGCATCGAGGAGGTTCCGATATCTATGAACAGGGCAACTGGTTGTGGACAAGGCCGAAGAGGAAACAAGGAAACGCCTAACATTGACATCGTCAAATTCCCTTTCGCACCAAATATGAACAAATGGGATTGGTACAAGTTCTATCTATCCTGTTCAAACATCTGATGGAGCAACCTCGACAAATTTGGCTTTTTAGATAAATTCCTTGTGGTCCTAGAGAAGCAACCGGAGATCGGCCAACTCTAAAAGCAAACCTATTTATAAAGATAAACAGGGGTAGAAACCCCTACAGTCTAGTCGATGTAATCTGCACCCAAACCAGCTACAAATAGGTTAGGGCCGGGTAGGGACGGGCGTCGGCCGATCAGATGGCCCCAGGACGGCGCTGCCAGCTGCGAAAAATAATGATACGCGATAATGGCTGTGATAGGATTGGGTGTATGTATGTACCCGCTTTTCGGCCACTGTTCAAATAAGAAAGACGGGCGCACCCGTTGGCCGAGTTGTTGTTGTTGATGTTGTTGTTGTTGTCTTCATATTAAAAAACCGTTCCGGTCTCCGCTCAGTACCTTGTAGTCTCGACGCGGACGCTTCTTCCTTCGTGTCTCTCTAGTAGTGTTGTCAAGTACATTCTTGATTGTTCTGTTGTATTTTCGTCTCCGCGTTTGGATCACATATCATAAAAAGTAGTGGATTTGTTTGGATGAGGCCTCCTGTCCCGTCAGAGCACCTAAACCCAAACTTCGTTCCGCACCCTCTCTATATCGTCTTTAGGCTATATGAGCTCAATCTCCCACACAACTGACAGTTTTGCTTAACCGCCCATGGGACACCCACGGGTCACTCATGGGTCACCCATGGGCCGCCCCCGGGCTCTTCATGGGCCCACCCATGGGCGGCCCATGAAGTGCCCACCGTGGGCGCTGTAACCTAGAACTTCGCCACCGGCATATCAACCTAGAAGTTAGCCACCAGCGCCAACCTAGCACGTATCGTGTGGGCTTGGGGTTAGGGTTAGCCCAGAGTTATTAGCCGTTCTAGTGAGCAGATGATCTATTGTTTAGGAGTAAACTGGTTCGGTTCAAGGGCTCTCATTGGCCGCCCATGGACTTCCCATGAGTTGCCCATGGGCCGCCCATGGGCTGCCCACGGGCTACCCATGGGCAAGCCCATGGCGCACCAATGGGCTGCCCATGGGCCTAAAGGGGTGCCCATGGGCGGCCCATGGATGACCCATGGGTGACCCATGGGAGTCCCATGGGTCGTTTGGGAACTGTAGAAAGTGTGGGACACCCAATGAGCCGCCCGACAATACCTCCAGCCTAAACATGCCGAACCCACTTTTATCCGGTGGGCGTCCCCACGCCACACGTTCTAAATACTTCCTTCCATGAAACCTTCGCTCAACGGCAACCTATCCGCCTTGTCATAGGCACTGTCCAATTTCCTCCGTTTCCCTTTTTCGTCGGGGTCAGTGTCGTCTGCCCGACGTGGCCCCTCGCCATCGATGATGAAATGGTTTTCCAACCACCGAGCTTCATGATTTCGTTGACTGCCGTACCTGCCAGAGACTCGCCGAGGGAACCTCCAACACGATGTACCCTCGTCAACGTTTCTTACATCGAAATCATTGGAACTAACGAGCTTCATCTTTTTCGCTTTCACCCGCAAATAACTTTATAATTTTTTCACCCCACGTGGGGATTCGAACTCACGAGGTCGCCACTAAACTAGCGGTTTACAGGCTGCCACTACATAGAAGACCACCGGGGCGACCTGCTGACACCCTAAAACGCGATTTATCGTTGAGTCAGCTGACGTCGGTAGGGAAAGGTTCGGGAGGTAGGCACCGGAATACAAGGATAGCTGCAGCTAGCTGTGGGTGTATGTTTTAGCGATCTCCCACACTATGTGACAAATGTGTACCGCTTCGACGGAAGGATAAATCAGCCTCTATGGAAGGAAATCGGACCTACTTCCATCCGATTCCATGGTAATCTAGGACTTGAGACAAATCCAGACTTCG